AAATTAGTTCAGCGAGTAAAAGATACCTTTCCAAGTTTCATTTAATTTCCCACTGCCCCGAACATCCGTGTTGAGTCTATTATGTGAAGACGCAAAAATATCGTTTCAGAACCAAACCTCGTCTAGTTTAAAATGTGGTCCAGTCTGAGAAAGCTGCATTGACCAGAAGTTACTCCGATCCATCACATTTTAAAATCAAACGTTAGAAGAAAAGTAAATTTCCCACTGCTTGATTAAATATGCGTGAACAGGTCCGAAAATGTTTGACTAGTACTCGCCCCATGTAAGGGTGTCCGAATTCTAGAATCTGGGAAATTCTTGTTTGTAGAATCCAAAACCCCTAAACATTTTGCTCGTGGAATCCGGAATTCCGGGGCTTTGGAATCCAGAATAGAGCTCAAGTACTCCGAAATCCCACTAAGGAATGGAATCCAGAAACCACGTTCCACTGAAAAAGACTGGAATCCAGCACCCGGAATCCATAATCCATGGAATGAGATCCAGAATCCAAGACTGTCTTGTATTCCTTAACATGGGGAGACAGTATTGCAATGCCAGCGACGAGTTACTATTTTTCCTTTATTCACGTTCCACTCATCAGGAGCCCATTTTCGAACAAATTTGAAGACCTTTGTAAATGAAATTTCAATAAGAAGATTTCTTCCTTTTACTGACTGTTTCTTCCAATCGGGAGTAGTCAGCTTTAGTTTTCACGCTCTTAGGGACAGTCCGGAGTCCAACGCTACATTTGTATCAAAGGCAATTAATAAAGAAGTTGGCACACGCAGATAATAAAGTTTCAACATTAATTTCGAATCGAGCAACTTCAGTGAAAGTATGAAAATAAAGTGTGCAAGTTCACGCGGTTTCTCTCAACTGATAAAAGTACACGAATGTCAGCATGACACCATTACTTCTCACCATGAAACCTGTCATCCATCGAAGCCTGAACTGAGTGAAGTAGAGCCAATACTCTCAAGAGACGGTAATCATTGACCTTACGAAAAATCAAGTGGAACAGATGGTGATTTGCTTCCCGGAGGGGACTCCCACACAAAAGTGACGCGAGTGCTCGCCCTTTGCAGATTTTGGTCTCACTTAGGGCGTTTGGGACAGAAAGTGACTGAATATGCTCATTCAGGTATCGCTTAGGGCTGTGCATAAAGAAATTTGCAAAAAAGGCCGTGACACTGACATCACAGAAACCTTCTTTAAGGGTCAGTTTAAGCTTGAGCCACCCCGACATTGGCTTCCCTCAGGGGTTTAATTTTGATTTTCCGACGAGCATCCCCTTTACTTTTATATGGAGTCCTCCCGGGGATTACCCACAACATCGGCATATAAACTCGGACGATTTTGGCGGCCACCTCGTTCTTCGCATAGAGGACGAAGAAAGGAATATTAGTAACAAGGACAGGTGTGTAATTGGTTTGGAGATTGCGAAGATTTTGTACCATCTATTTAAAAGGGTGGGATCACGTACGTATAAAATCGTAAAATCATCTCAAATGTCTTTATTACTAGTTGCTTTATAAAATTTGTGATAAGATAATGACAAAAGGGTCGATGGGTATTGTCGTAATCGTAATTTTAAGTTCAGACAATGATGAACTCAGCAGTCCACTCAATTTTTTATTTAGAAGTGTGCGGGAAGTGAAAATCCAAACATAATGAAGTGATGGGGAGAAGTAGGAAGTGGCTTTAAGTAATATCCTGATATTAATCACCGTTGGACTACGGCTTAAAGGTACACAGTCAGCTAACGCGCATTTGATATAATTTATGAGCTGACAGATTTGAATATTACAAGATACACGCGTGAAACAGAAAGTGATAAGCGCATCTTTTGCAACATCTAAACCTTGTGGAGTCGAAGTTAAATTGCACCTCAAAATCGTGATTACCAACCCCTTACCCCCTAGGTCATATTACCGAGAGCACTCAGTTGTTTGGTACCATGGAGAATTCACCGACAGAATTTTCTGTTGGAAGCCCAACGTGGACAAATACCTCTGGATTCGAACAATCAGTAGAGGTGCTAACTGACGCGAAGACTGAATCCGGCCTTGTCGATGGTTTCCCCAGCATGAACATTTCTCCAGGTCGAGACCCCTACAATGTTTTCACGTCTCTTTTCTCGTCTCACGTCTTCTTAGAGGGTTTATTACCCTGCTCTTACAGACGCTTGCATTCTACTATGTTAATGATGAAAAAATACATACCTCTGAACATATGAAGGATCTAGGATCACATTTTTTAGAAACGGCCTTAGGACCCTCCGTGTGGATCCAAAACGTCCAAAATATTTTCTCCTCTGGTAGGCTTTTTAACCATCTGAGACAGCGAAGCATGTACAAGTAAATCCTTGTATTTTAGCTGATTAACATCCCCGGCAATGATGATTTTACAATTCGGGTCCACGGTCATTGAATGCTCACAAGAAGCCGTGAGAAAGTCCAACAGTTCCTCTTGATCATACAAGGACTCATCAGGGTGGTAAACAGCACATGCATAATAGACAGAATGGAAAAAAGACCATCGAGTCGTTCGATTTTCCAATCCTCTCTGCAAATGATAGCGACGCCACCTCTACCACGATCCAGTCTGTCTTTACGAGTCATACAAAATCCACTGGGGCAAACAATATGAGTTGGGTGTATAGGTTTGAGCCAAATTTCAGTCAAAAAACACAGGTCGCAGTTACTTGTCATCAACTTAGCAGCAAGGGCAGGAAAGGCGTCCATTTTAGCAACAGATCTTGTGTTAATTACCATGCAGAGCTGAAACACGTCTAAGTATTCGGGATCTTGTATAGTTAAAATTAACATTCCACGCATGAGTTGGCCAGGAATTGATAATAACAGGAATGACTCTCGATTGCTTTGCTCTCTTCAGGCGAACAAGCCTACCAGCTCTCTTTCCGCGGGCAAGAAAGAAACCAAGATTCTTGAGAACAGATATTAAAGTAGGCGTTAGGGTTTGTGATACAGCGCTTTTTCTGAGAGAGTATAGATGACCCTTTGAATAAACAATATGCGAGCCGATGAAAGAAATGGAGCGTGGAGAATCAGATCGTATACAATTTTCCTTCAAGCCCAGGGAACTTGCTTGAGAAGGACCAGGGTTTCGCAAAAAATACAAGTAGATAGTTTAGAGTGATTTTCTGTAAAAGTTGAGCTTCGGCCTTACACTGTACCTCATCGATTTGGCTGATTTTTTGGCATGTAGTCTTAGAATAGTGTTTTAAATAATTAATGCATGTTCTAAGGTTAGAATTCTTTTTGGTTTCAAAGATACAAGAATGACAGTTTTGACAAGGCTTCGAGGGTGAGCCATGTTGGTAAAGTGAGGGAGGTTTACATTAATTAATTCTAGCCTTATCGTTAAAATAACTTAATCGTGACTCATACAGTGGCAAAGAACTATCCTTCCTCCTTTCTTTTACTTAATCGTATCTGAAAATGGTCAAACCTGAGCTACGAACGGCTATAACTTCTCACAGCACTTTTTCGGTACTTAAACGGTACACAAATTTGGTAGAAATTGGAAGGTCGATATCACCCATGCCGAATCAGGGAAAAACACTCCATTTGCATGGTGTACATTTTGAAGAACATTTGACACCTATTTGGATTCCTACCCTTATACCTTTATTAAAAATTAAAGTTGGGTAGTTTGTTGTTTTCTAAAAGTAGTTTGAACAGCCGCACGACATTGTTTACACGTAGTGGGGAGGGCAAAGCTTCACTTTTCCCTTCTAAGGTAGAAAGCGTCAGCCAAACGTGAGAGCCTTCCTTGAGCGCAAAGTGTCTAACCTAATTTTCTCACCGATTGGAAGTGCCATTTCATCCACGCATAACCTCACCTAGTTAACTGAATTACCAAATGTAATGGGGAAACGATACACCGGAACTGAGTAAGAATTTAAGGTAAGTTTTGAAAATTGTGCTCACACCTGGAAAATGCTGGCTATGCTCCTGATAGAGACTTCTTCTGGAGAGAAATAGCCCATTTGCATGATGACGTCACGCGCGCTGTGCATTATGGTTGTAGTAGTAAAGACCGCGAAAGTTTTAAAAAAAATGGTGGCAACTGATGCGAAAAGTCATGAAAACAAGGACATTCAAGGTCACTCAAAGTCCGAAAATTTCAAGAAGAAAATTGTTTTGACTGAGGACGATGTCCAAGGAGCATCGTTCAAAAACAAGGATCCTCAAATCTTTCATAATGAACAACTTAAACGTTGGTTAAAGTGTCGAGGTGCTAGTGTGGGTGGGAGTCGAAGAGGATTACTAACAAGGTTTGTAGTTCTGTCAGTATTTTAAGAATTAAAGCGATTTTCTAAGGGCCCAGCTGTGTATTTGACTTTAATAGAATAAACGATTATCAAGTATCTGGCCAGGACAAGAAAATCGTCCATCCAGATGGAGGGATACATCTTCGTAGACTTCGACTTGAGTGCGAACTGCGATCACAACAAACCAGCGATAATCTTCCCAAGAGAGTTACATGGCCCAGCGATGGTTGGACATTATCCTTGGAACAAATGCCTCCGTTTCAGCATTGTTATTTGTTTGCTCATTTAGCCGAAGAAATGGAAAGTAACTCGAAGAAAGTTCGCCAAGGTGCTTTCAAAAGCAAGCGTGAAGGTTACGCTCTGTATAAAGCCGGACATGTGCAAAAGGTAAAGTTCAACCACACGACAGATGAACATTTCTGTTTTTTTGAGAGCCGCGTAAAGGCCTCCATGACTAGAAACAAACTATACAGGACAAGAGTATCACTAAGTAAGCAAACGGCTCAGGTGAAGTCTGGTGCATGTAACTGTAAAGCAGGAGCTAATGGTCGATGTAAGCATATTGGCGCATTGCTGTACAAAATACTCGATTTTACTGAAAGCGAAGTGGATGAAATACCACCAGACCTTACGTGCACTGAAAGACTACAACAGTGGCACATACCCCGCTCTAATTCTTCAAAGGACGAACTAGTTCTATTGGATGAGTTATTTAGTGATTAAGCATAATTATGAGGCCGATAAAAAGAGGAAGAAAAACGAGGTAAGGATTCAGAGAAAAGTGGAAAAGCAAATGTGCGACGCTGCACCCTCTTTTGCCAGAAAAATCAGTGAACATCAAATAAAACAGTTTTCTGAGGACTTGAAAGCAGCAAAAACAAAGACCCGACCAATGCTTATTGATTTGTTAGAAGGGAATGAATGCAAGCCCATTGTCACTCAAGACATAACACTAAGGGAAAATCGAGACAACATACTGAAGGATCATGATTATTGTTGTCATTCAAACAGAAAACGTCAAAATGAAATTGGGGATGCAGATAGTGGCATTGATCTTCCTTGCAAAATCATTAAAATGGAAAGCGTTATTGAGCCACTCGATACAAATTTTGACAATAGATTTTGCTTGTCTCATTGTGAAGCTGTCCAAGTTGATGCTCCTGACAGTGAGCGATCTGTTACTGAAGATGATAACCAAGAATGTGTACAATACCTTCCGCCCGAGAACCCGTGTATAAACACCAGTTTCCCTTACATTGAAAAACATATTATTTCTGAGTGGAATTTTCCCGAATCTTATTCTGATGATTATGATTTGAATGAAGAAAATTTCAGAAAGGTGTGCACTGAGGTTGTTGGAAAACTTAGTATAACTGAGACTGAAATATTTGAGATAGAAATACAAACAAGGGGTCAGTCTGAAAATACACAGTGGTTCAAATACAGATGTGCACGAGTAACAGCATCCAAGTTCGGGGAAATTAAGAACAGAAGATCCACCACTGCACCTGATCGCTTGATACGTGATATTTTTCAGTACAATCCAAAAGGTAAAACACCCCATCAATATCAAGAAGGTTTAAGGCTTGAGCCCATAATCAAAGAGAAGTATATAGCCAAGGAATCTGAAAATGGCCACACTGGAATAAAGGTATCTGAAAAAGGATTGATCATTGACAGAAAAAACCCTTTGCTTGCAGCTAGTATTGATGGTGAAGTTTATGACCCGACAGCAAAGCACAGTCCAGTTGGAAATCTTGAAATGAAGTATAAACAATTTCCCAGCAGATTATGTACAGAACAGAAAATTGAGGACAATTTATTACATTTCATTGCTAAGCATGCAAAAGACTCATGTCTTCGAATAACCAGTAATGAACTTAAGCTCAAAACTCGTCATCATTACTATGCCCAAATACAAGGAGGTATGGGTATTTCAGGAAGGTAATGGTCTGATTTGGCAGTCCATTGTTACTACAGAAATATGGAGGATTTGCATATTGAAAGAATTTACTTTGACCCAATTCAGTGGAATGATCTTAAACGTAACTTATTACATTTTTGTTTACATGCTGTATTACCTGAGATTATCACCACGAGAATCAAAAGAGGAAAACCACTTCATCCTACAGTGTATTGTTACAAGAAGTAACATGAACATCCTAACTTACAGGAAGTATATTAGTACAAACAACTGGGCTTGAAATTCCTTAGCCAAGTAGATCAGATTGCTAAAGAGTATAGTAACTTGTAACTTGAGCAATGACTTAAACAACTACATGTATTAGTATTCAGAGAATATACACACCCAGGTAATATATTCTATTGTGTCTTGCTTTGTTTCTGTTCTTATCTTAATGTAACACCATGGCTAAAGAACTAGGGGACCTTTAAAATTAGTTAAAATGGCAATTACTTTCCATATTTTATTTATATCGTCAGCCATAGTATTGGGAATGATTTGTCTCAAAATATTGCAGTTTTTAATTCTTTCAGTTGCCTTCTCTACATGAATGTGCACTGAAGCAATTTGTCTTGTTTCATCTTCCTCGTCTGGGTCCAACTGATCCTTGCATCTCATGAATGGGGGGATATTTAACGAAGCTTTTTTCGAAACCAACAAATCTTGAATCTCAAATCCCCTGTCAGCCATTACTGAGTCTCCTGGTTCAAGTAAATCTAGTATCCCAGATGATGCAACAATCTGCCTGTCACTTGCATGGCCTCCAAATAAATCAGAAACAAAAGTCACTGCACGTTGTGGAGAAATTCCTACCAGCCCTTTTGCGGTGTTGTGAGACTTATAGGATGAATGAGTTGCTGACTGTGCTCTAAAGCATGAAGGCTTCTCAATGAAAATCTTAGTACAGTCTAGGATTACACGTGTAAAAGGATAGTCAAATTTGAAACAATCAGGCATTGTTTTCTCTACTGTTTTCTTTGATGCCCAGATTGGTAGCTGCATAAATCAGGTGAACATGAAATTGACCCAGGTGATAAATATCCTAGACACCTCACTGACACTGATTTTATACTAGTCAGAAAAAACCTTTTCTGGTATATTTACTCTTAGTCGTGCCATGGTCAAAAAAAGTTCATCAATCGGAAGAAGAGTGCGTTTTTCACCTCGCTTTTCCAAGCTGTCTAGTTGAAGGTTCGAGTTGTTTGAGCCCCAGTAGTTCAGTCTTGAACAGGCGTTCACACCTCCATCAAGAAAATCATAGAGAGCCTTAAACTGTGCATAGTTTTCCATTCCAGTATAATACTTCATATCGTCATCCGAAGACTTGAATTTTTCCAATCCAAATCTTAATTCGCATTCTAATTTAGAATTCCGCGATTCAAGTGCTGCAATTTGTTGTCTGAGTTCAATAATCTGGTCTTCAAGAGAGGGTTCATTGTTACAATGATTGGTGCTATCTATTTGATTCTCCTCCGGACACGTCGGCTCATTTTCCACAGTCTCTTCTTGTATTTCCTCTTCTTTGTGGCGAACAAGTAGTCTTCTTGGTGTTTTTATCACTTTAGGGTGAGCCTTTTGTAGAGGAAATACAGTTGGCACGTTGTTTTGGTAGCTTTTGGAGCCCCCTTCGAAGTGAGCACTGCACACACGATGACCCGCAGTTGGACGAAAATCTTTCCTGGAAATGTTATGAAGCCATTGCCTTCTTAAATTTTGGTCACCTGAGAAATTATAAAATGAAAACTTCCCGTTATGTTTCTTCGAATTGTTGTAGCAGCCAGGAACACAGCAAGTAAATCCTCCAGCTTCGCTACTTCCAGACGCCATTTTTCAAACTCTCTTTACTACTACAACCATAATGCACAGCGCGCGTGATGTCATCATGCAAATGGCCTATTGAAACGTGCTTGCTAATAAAGTGAATGCCAGAAAGGAAAAGCCATAGGATAGTTCTAGAAAAGCATCCATTAAAATAGATCATGAAGTTGTCGCGGCGGGGGATGAAATTGAAGACTTCTGATCAAGTGCAATTTTTCAAGGGAGCCCAGACAAGATTATGTACGATAGGCACAGCTTGTGGACGTCTTCCTAACAAGCGCATTTCCACTACTTGTCTTCAGAGGCCTTTTTGAGTGGACGAGCAGAGAAAATTAGGTTTTGACGGTTAGAAATTGAGGACGCTAGAGTAAAGACGCCTTTTGTACGATGACGTTATCGTCCTATAGTATAAAGAGTTCGTTTTTTACCACTGATATTACATCAACCTGTACACTTATGTCGTCGAAAGTTCCGTGAGCATGGTGAAGGATTTTACATTAAACTGCAGAGCAGACATCTTCAATCACTCTGTGAAAGAACACCCTTCTTGTTCGCGATATGGGCTAAACACTCTGGTCGCTAACTGAATTTTCTTTGCTGTTTGTCCTATTTAGAATAGGACTCTCTTGAGTTATTCATGCATGGACCAGCAATTTTAAGCTTTTTCAAGAAAACGAAAGTCTGGAATTGTCCCTAGGGTGGGACATTTGCGCACAGTGGGGTGAATGGGGTTTTCTTATGGCCTGTGCTCATCCCTTATTCTTCTCAACCCCTTCCAAACCAATTTCCCTGTTTATCACAAAACACTTTATCGAAAGACCAAGAATCTCCTCAACAAGAGATTTGTGATTGAAACAAAATAGCCTAAAATTTTGCTCGGAACCGTTGTTAATGGTGTACAAGATAGAATGAGTCTATTTATTACTTTGCCAAGGCCCAATTTGTAAAACCGGAAGTAATGATGTTTATTTCAAGGGCTCCTGTCTCATGATTTTTGAGCGAATCTTCAAACGCTGTAAATACACATTGCTGGAACTCCAATCCACGCGATATGCGTGGAGCTATCATGGTATCCTCGCTCACCAATAATGATAACTTATATCAACTTCCATTATTTATTGCCCTGCTAAGATTTCCACGGATTCTTCGGTTCAGTTATTTGAAACCAGGCGGTTTCACGTCAGGGGCACCCAACGAGAATATAGTTCAAAACCACTTTAACATGTATAGCATTGTTGAACGCATTTTAGTATTTAAACGGTAAATATAGGCATATTTTTATTCCTTAAAAATTTTTCGTCTGTTCGGATTTCCTAGCTGAACGTCTAGTGATCCGAGAATCATAGGGATCAAAACTTACCTTTTTGAAAATTTCAGCGAGAAAAAAGGCTCCCGAAAATTCTAGGAGACCTTTTTAGGGTAACAATCTGCTAAAAATGGGCAATTGCACTTTTTTTATATGTTCGAAAATCCTAGGAGACGCAGTCAAGCAAGAAATTTTACAACAAATGTTCCGAAAATTCTAGATCTCAAATGGTCCTCCGAACAGATATTTTCCGAAAATTGTCGTTGGGTGTCCCTGTCACGTGAGTTGTAACGACATGCCAGGAACGTGACGATCGACCCGCGATATGCATGGGAAATATTACTGCTATTTTCGATCAAGGTGGAAATTGGCATCTCTTCGTCGATTAAGGTAATACATTTCAATTTTCATTATTATGGTTAATTTTAAAAGCTCTGGCTTCGATAAAGGAACTGGAGGAAAATCAGGAAAATTCCAGTTCGACTGTGATGGTTGAATTTCATTTACGCGTCGCGGCATAAATATAACAAATTCATTTCCTTTTCCTTATTCAATCTACCTTTTGAATACTGTATTTCGCAGCAGAGCTATCGCTTATATTACAGAGGCTAATTTTATTATACAGATCACTCAGATTTAGTGACAGAAACTCTTTTATCGATTGCAATTTTGGCAACACCTGGCGAGTATTCGGTGTAAAGCCTATTTACAAAGTCGCTAGAACACTCTTCCATTCATTACTCTAATTTGTTTCTCCTCCGTTAAATTTGCCCAATTTTTTTATTAACGAGCTCGATTCAACTAATAACCATGAGTATTCAGGCAGAGTGGCAAGCTTCAATGCGATGTGGCAAGAGACATATACGCCTTCGAGTTTCTGTTAATTTTGCGGGTGTAAAAAATTCAAAAAGTATACCCACCAAAAGTTTAATCGATCGTTGCGAAAACGTTATCAATTTCGAAGTAGTTTCTGAAAATGCAATAAAGAGGGGAAACGTCTTTCAATGTGTATCGGCGAAGGAAGATTAGCTTTGAAGACAGGGTTGTAGTCGAAGGCACAAAAACATCTTCTATTAATCAATATGGCGTCTGTCCAAGGCACACCAAAACCGGCCGGGTCAATAATTTCCGAAATAGGAGTATTTAGAACCTGTAGTTACCTATTCCTTATTAAAGACCCCAAATCAAGTCTACATGCCAATTTTAGCCATTTTGGTGAGATGGTGAGGCAGCGACTTTTCAATATGGTTCGAATCTTACAGACAACTGCTCTTAAAGCCATAATAAAGGAAGGGCTTGAAAGGAAGCACCATGCAAGTCCCACCACGTTTGGTCGACAAAGTTATCGTAAAGGGAAGCTTCAAGTGCGATCTCGAGTCACAACGTTGAATAGTAATGTGATGAATAAAAAATGGCTCATAGGATCTTGAAAATGGATTACTTTCCACCAAAAGACTCTCCCTGAAAGTCCAGGCATATAAATCCCCTAGTGGTTCAAAACTTAACAAATACGCAGGCTAACGGTTTTATTCAGTGGTGGTTTGAACAGGCTACTGAACGGAATACTGTGAGGCTACTCAGTCACTTCACTCACTGTCCATCACGGAGTTGATAGCGTACAGCATTGCCAGTATAGCACTATGAGTATTGTGCATAGACAATCAGATTTGTGATCGAAGACCGGTAGATTTATACATCCAATAATTTAAACTAATATAAAATTCCTAAAGATATCCGGACACTAACTTAACACAATGTGCATTTCACAGCTTATTTCTCACTGTTTTAAGGGCAAATAACAGATTCCTTGATAGCGGGGCTCCCACGCGAGCGAAGCGCGCTTGGGACAGAGCCCCATACTCATAGAATATGGTCAACCTCTTTTCGTTTGGTTGTCACGTCATTGACCGAACGTACGTACGTACGTACGCGTCTACAGATTGTGGGGGTGGGGTAGGGGATACTATCTAAAGGGAGGGCGGGGTGTCTCAGGCGTGTCTTGGAAAGTCCACATCTTTATATTGGACATTCACAAAATGGTCCATTGACAGCTGTCAAAACAGGATAGCCACTGACCAGTATCACATGACCATATTGCAGGCTCATGTGTCAACTCATCGAGGTGACGTCATTTGAAGTTATCCGCTGACAAGTTACTAGTTGTTAAATGATCGCAGGCTCAAGTTTGATTTTTTTTTAAATTCATATGAAATATGTTTTGTTTTTGTGCCGCACAATTACAATTTTGATTTAAAACTGACCTTCAGCCAGCTATTACAGGTAGGGAAGACAGTTGCTTGTGACTTTGCTCACCACGGTTCTGCGTTGGTCACGCTCTACGTTTAATGTTTATGCTCTGATTGGTCAAAATTGGACAGGTGAGTTCATGCGGAAAATTTATGCAACATCTCGAATCTTGTTTACTATGACAGCTGAAGCTGACAGAGTTTTGTGCCAACTTGTGATGTTTTTAACGGTCTATTTCCACTGGATGTACAAAATAAAATTCAGTTGCTATCAGGAGTCTTGTTATTCATGGCTAGTTTGTTTATTGGGTTTTTGGTTGAGAAATACGTCACTTGTCAAAGTTTAGCTATGCCCACGCGTGCTTCGATCGTCCTGAATACTGAAAGAGTGCAATTTGTATTGCAAAATTGTGAAATACTATATTCTGTCCCAGATCTGTATGATAAAAACAGTGCCTCATAGTACTGTTTCACCTCAGATGTGATGTATAAATGGTATAAAAGGTTGGTTTGATTGATTTGTTGGCAAGATTTTGTAAAGTAAACTTGCCCAACGCAAAAAAATTGGGCCTCATTTTTTTCCAGGCCTAATTAATCTACGTTGATCAAGAGCCATTATGGCTCTTAAATTT